ACGCTACTAGGGGCTCCTGGCCCTACTACTAGGAGCAAGCAGCTACTTGGGGCTCCTTGCCTCGCTACCAGGGGCTCCTGGCCCTACTACTAGGAGCAAGCAGCTACAGTACTTGGGGTTCCTAAGGCTTTGGTGTTCATTGGACCTGAGGACAGGCCGTGGAGCTCTGGGCACACAGTAGAAAAGAGCACGAGGCCGCGCCATGTGCTTGCCCGGGTTCGGGCGCTTGCAATTGGCATATCAACGGAAGTTGCTGATCCAGGATGCCCAGTACAGAGGATGGTTCAACTAGCACTGGCGGCTTGAGTTCATCGTTTTTTTCGCACCCTCCTTGTCAAACTGGGAAAGACGGACATCAACGAGTACACCAAAAGGCTAGAATGCATCGCTGGCTTGTGGCCTCAAGAACACCTTTCGTATCCGGCAGGAAGATAAGGACACGGAATGAAGCCCTCTTTAACTCAACTGATGACATCGAATCCACTTGCTCAAATGACCACAAAATGTGCAGCTTCAGGCATCTTTCACATGAGTAGTGGTCATATTTATCACAACAACGTCATGATCAACTCTAAGTGTTTTGTCCAATCAATCATCAAAGCACCAGGACTGGCACCTAGCGTGACATCCTCACTCCAACAGCAGGCTCAACAAGTTTACGAAAATCGGTCATCCTTCACCTACTTCTAGGAGCCACTGACCAATACTACACACGGCATTGCAGGAGCGGCTATAGTGTCTACGTTTGTGAGCTGTGTTTGGCATAATTCACCTTGAACAGACTGATTGCCAATCCATCCGTCAGAACTAATCATGACCTGCGTAAAATCCAGAGTGGAGGACGCTAAGTTGGGAGTTAGCCCCACATAAATGTTGAGACTATTTCAAAGTCCAGCTGCTCTTTGTGGAAAACTGGACGAACCCCGACGTCCTCAGCGAATCAACCCTAGACTTCCAATAAGCTTGTCAGGTCCTTAATTAATCCAAAACCCAATCAACCAGCGAATACTTTACAAGATTTGGACAGGCACCTACACAGCACAACCGTATTGTTCCACATTGCCGTCAGCCGTCCCAGCGGCTTCCCAAGTCTACCCTGTGCACAGGAACCCTCTGCACGCAACATCATGCATGCCTCGATTGTTGCCTCTTATTCATGAGCACATTCAACGAGGACTTTGGTTGGCCCACGTTCTCGAGGATAGGCAACAGCGGCAACAAAGCAAGAGAGTGTTACCAGGATGGTATTTCGAGGCCGTTTGTGCAACTGTCTTAGTCAACTTAAGGGGACTTGCTGACACTCCTCGTTCCACTCACTCTTGGAATGACTTTCTGCAGTTCGCGCAAGTGCACAAGGTGATGTAATTACTTAAGCAAAGCCCCCAACCTACTAGCGATGGCCTCGCCCTAAGAGCGATGGCCTCCAACCTAATAGCGATGATGTAATTACTTCAGCTTGTCAAATGAACTTGACTTGGCTCAGCCGCGAAACTCCAAAGTCGCAGGTGGGAATCACCTTGCCATTCACTGTCTTATTGCCACTGATTCCTTCGCTGGATTGGAATTGAAGAATTGGTTTGATTGGCGTTTCAGACTCTCTGTTTGAAAGTCAAGGTTTCAAAGGTCTGCCCACAAACAAGAAATGCATAATTTGAGAGCTGCCATTGGCTGTATGTACTATTCTGTGGCTACTTCTGCTCCAGATCCAGCAACATGCCACCACATTTTTTACTAGCAGTCCGTTGGCACAGCCAAGAGAAAGAGCGAAGATCATATTACCCGGTTTCCTCAGCTGCAAATTCATTGAACCGTGGTGCGAACCCCAGTGAATCTAACTTCTATGCGGGCATTTGAAGCTAAGTGTCTGCAAGGTGATCCGAAATTGTGTTTCCTTTCGATCGAAAGGGTAACAGGACATGTCGAACATGGGGCTGGCTGCTTGGGCAAATTCTCCAATGTAGACGGTGCTGGTGCTGGCTGATTCTCTCCGCGTCACGGGGTCATTGACTGAGATCGTCCCCATGTGCCGCTTGGTCCCATCACCAAAATTCTCCACATCGATGATGGCATGCGGTTCTGAGACAAACTCATAGCCAACCATATCATACACCTGAAACCAGACTGCACTTAGATATGTGAGGATGCCCACCAGGGCCTCCTTGACACTCTGCACATCTGCACATTTATTCCTTAAGCCATAAGCTGAGTCACGGAGATGACAGTGAGTCTACCCTCGATGATCTTCCTTCGGTCGCTGAATCCAAGAAAAATGTCCCAAGACGGAAGCACAATCAGTTTGATACCTCAGCAAACGCACAAAGAAATCATGTGTTCTTTTCTTGGCCGCTCTCCCGCCAGTTCGCTACTACATGCTGGACGCAGGATAGCTCACGCTTCTTCAAGGAAGCTCCCCCCGCCTGAGGGCGCCGAGGAGCTTCCTTGAAGAAGCGCTCGCACTAATGATTTGGTTCCTAGATGTTGAGGAAAACTTGACATTCGATGAGTAGGCTGCTTGAACGCCGGAAAACAGGGTAGGAAGAAGCTACAGTTCAATTGGGAGAAATCTTTCCTGGGTTTTAGGGGAAACCTAAAGCTACAGCTTATTCTTCTTACTTTTCTGATTCTGACAAAGTGCTTTCATTGAGACCATTCTTGATCTCAAGGCCAGAGGGTAGAGCTCTCTCTTCTTCCTCCTCCTCTTCCTCGCAAAGAGAAAAAAAAAAAATGTGATGAAACCACTCAGTCAAAACCTTTTTACTGGATTCAAAAGTCTCAGCCAAAGTCGTAGAGTCTACGTGGAAGACTTTCCAGAATTTCCAGCAGCTGCTTTGTCCCCGCCTGAAGTCGCCTCAAGTTCTGCGTCTTCGCTTGCGAAGGAGAAGCCACTGCCTTTTGCTGGAAAACCAGAAAGAATGTCGATAAGGAATTGGTAGCATCCGTTTGAAACAGAAACAAATCACCAAAGGGTCCTCTTGTTCCGCAGTTGCAAGGTCTGCAAAACACCTCGGCAAGAATAAAAGAATGAGGAGCGCGTGAATCGGTGACTTCGCAAATGACTTGGCACCCACTCTGGATAAGTACCAGGCTGCAACAGCGGCAGCACGAAGAGGGTGCACCTCATCTCCGACTCAGCCAGGCCCCTTCTCTGACTCCATCTCTTCTTTGAGCCGAAAAGCTAGGAACAAGAAGCTACTAGGGGCTCCTGGCCTTACTACTAGGAGCAAGGACGCTACTGGGAGCAAAGGGCATCGCTACTAGAAACAAGAAGCTACTAGGGGCTCCTGGCCTTACTACTAGGAGCAAGGACGCTACTGGGAGCAAAGGGCATCGCTACTAGGAACAAGAAGCTACTA